AAAAAAAAAAAAAAAAAAAAAAAAAAAAAAAAAAAAAAAAACATGAGGCAGATCTATCTCTATGTACTGAGATATGGTTTACTAAAAAAGTGCAGAGCAATTAAAAAAAGGGAAGATCTGTCAATATTAAACCTGCATCTCTCCGTACTAATAATGCGTAAAGCTGCACGGCTGCTGCCTGCCTTAAAAAGGGCATCCACGCTTCTGTTTGCCCACCTCCTCTTATTGTTCTTATTTTTTTTAAGTAAAATTTAAATGTTAGGAGAAGTACTATATCCACAGATTTTAAAGTCTGAAAGTGCAAACAGGGATACAGTGAACAGTCTCCTTTCAACTCCTATCCCACAGCCAAATAGCTCCTCTCTTGTAGCCTTGCAGAGATGTTCTGTACATACACAACCAAATACACACACATATATGTATTCATACTCTTTTTCCCTTTTCTTTACAAAAATGATAACTCACTAAACTCTTTGTTCTTTACCTTGCATTTTCTCTTAACAGTGTCTCTTGGAGATTATTTTGTATCTGTACAAAAAAGAGCTTTCTCGTTGTTGATTTTTTTTGTTGTAGTATTTGTTTGTTTGGTTTGGTTGGGGGGGGATTGTTTGTTTTTGTTTTTGTTTTACTGCTGGATAGAATTCCATTCTATGGATGTACCATGGTGTATTTAACCAACACCCTACTGGTGGACTTTGGGGATAATTCTAATCATTTGCTATTATAAACATTTCTATAACAAATAATCATCTACAAATGGTACCTCACACGTTAATAAGAATAAATTCTAGAAGCAGAATTGCAGGGTCAAAGAGAAGATGCTAAAATGAAGCTTTTAATCACAAGGGACAAAACATGGTATCAGAAAGATTAAAGATGGTCTTGCTATACTTGCTACACTACACTGACTGACCCACTGGATATCTTGCATTATCTCTTCCACCATACAATAAGTTCAAGCAAGGCAAAAATCTGTCTGTCTTATTTATCATTGCATCTTAGAACATAGTGTCAATAAATAGTCGCTAAAGGAAGGGAGTGAGGAAGGAAGAGTATATTTTATTTTTTTGGCTGCGCTGCATGGCATGTGGGATTTTAGTTCCCTGACCAGGGATCGAACCCATGCCCCCTGCATTGGAAGCACAGAGTCTTAACCACTGGATGGCCAAGGAAGCCCAGAAGAGTTATTTTAAATAGAGGCTAGTCCTTGGGTACGGTGACCCCAGAGAGGTCCTGCTTACCCAAAGACCCTGATTTTTATGACCTAATGAAATAAGAAACCATCAGGCTCCCTAAAAAGTCTCCAAAGTACACCAGAGGGAAAAATAAGAGAAACTCAACACCAGGGTGAGGCCATAGGAGAGTGAACATATTTCCTTCTGAGACAAGGAGCTGTGTTAGATGCTGCTCTCCTAGTTGGCCCGAGTGACAACAATATTGTGGATGCCAGACTCACTATTCCAGGAAGGGAAGAGCTGAGCTGGAGATAGAAAGATGGTCCATCAGGGGAAAAGATAATCAACCCTCTGGCCTCATTTTAGTTTTAACTAGATCCACATTTGCTCTCCAGCTTGACAGAATGATGTTGACAAATGCCTTTTGTTTTCATCCAGATACTCCCCAGATGGTTTCAGGAGTCCCTGAGCGGTGTGTTTTGGCACAAATCTACCCATAGGATCTTCAAGAAAGCTCATCCCTAAGCAAATTCAATAAAACAAAATGAACAAGCTGCTAGCTAGAATTTTCTCCAAACCCAACATTAAGGCCTGATGCATTTTTCAAACATGGAAGCCACCAGTAGGCCCACAGTAAAACTTGTTGAATCTTATGAATGCGTGAAGGCAGAGCGTTGAAGGTGTCGCAAGATGACACTAAGGGTTTGAGAACTTCCTCCCTCCCAATCCAATAAAGCCAAGTTTGGGAGGAGGAAGGAGAATAAGAAGGAGTAGGGGGGAGAGTGGGTAGGAGAGACGTGGTCCTGACTGCAGAGACGGGGATGAGCCTGGGAGGGAAGCAGGAGGGCAGTGAGGCAGAAGTCTTCCACACTCTGGTTCAGAGAGAGAGAGAAAGAGAAAGAGGAAGGGCAAGGAAGGGAGGAGATGGGAGGAGAGGAGGGCAGAAGACAGAGGAGAAGAGAAGAGAAAGGGAGCGAGGAGAGGAGAGGAGATCTGGGGACACATGAAGACCTGCTGGGCTCCCCAGATACCGTCTCCCCAAGCTGGGAAGAGCGAACACCTAAATACCGCAAACCTCCTTCATGGAAAAGGCAGGTCTTCCTGGAGGAAGACCACAGAGTCCATGAGAGGCTGCCTCCTGGGAGGTTATGGAAACAGAGGCTGTGGGCAGGCCAACTGGAGAGGCGTTTTGGTGACAGTTTGCCCTGGTATGTGAAAAATTTTTCCTGCTTAGATAGTTGGCAAACATTTTAGAGGCAAAATGGAATTTATTAACAGAAAATATTTGTCAAGGATTATTCCTTCCCCCTCCCTCTGTTCTTTTCTTTCTTTCCTTTCTTTCTCTCTCTCTCTCTTTTTTTTCTTCCTCTTCTCAGGGTGGAGGACTTCATCAGCCAGATTCTTTCATCTTCCTTTGTGGTTCGGATCTATAAGCCTGGCTTGAAGGAAGAGAGAGATGGCTTTAGGGGAAATGCTCACCCCCCATCCCCAATAGGATAGCTTCCTCCTCTACACACAGGTGTCAGCTTTCTGCCCGGAAGAGCTTGGACTGACATGGAATCGTCTTTCCAGAGGAATTCCTTCTGTTTCCCCCTGGCATGGGCTTGAAGCACCCCCAGAATTGGATCTGAATCTATAATTGCTATCAGTGCTGTGGCTTTTATCTTTTTGAAACTCCATTTCTTCAGGAGGAAAATGAGGGGAGAATAATACTTAGCTCTTGCCATTGTTGTGAAGAGGAAATGATAAAGTATATGTTAAGTGTCTGGTACAGGGTCTGGCCCAGAGTAAAAACCTCAGTGGATGGTAGCTCTGCTCCTTCTGATAAAGGACAGAGACCCTGGTGGCAACCTGCTCACAGGGTTAATCAATTTAGACCTAGAATATGGTGCTTTGGGTATCAGTTAATAAAGGAGAGGTGACACTCAGCCTTGATGAAACCTACACTTAACCAGAGGTAGCAAAAATGGACAATGTTTATTGAAAGTTTACTAAGAACCAAGTGTTCTAAAACTTTACAGTATTATTTAACCCACCCAAGTACCCTCCTATTTTCCCAAGGCTAATAGTATTAAAGTGGCTGAACCAGCATTGAACACAGACCATCTTCTTCCCCAAACTACTTTCTTAACCGTAATGGATGTTGCATCGAGGTAGCAATGAAAGGGAAACACGGAATCATATTTTTGTGGATTGAACAGGCTTGCAGATCAGCTTTTCCAGATCTGTTTTGAGGAGGAGGGAAATGAAGCCCAGAGACAGGAAATTCTCACTCAGGGCCATCTAGCTGGTGATGGTGGAGCCAGGAGCAGAAGCCCGGCTTCTGGAATTTCGGGTCAGTGTACTGCCACCTAGAAAGAGAGGACCAGCAGAATCTGCTGCAAGGGAGAGACTGCTGGCTAGCCACATTGCTCTTGAGAACTGCGGGTCTTGACTTAGATACCCAAATGGGAATTTAATCTAAATTGAACCCACCCCAAACCACATGTTTTATCAAGCACCTTGACTGAGTGCTTGCTGTGAGGGGGGCACCCAGGTGGGCAGATACCATGGGGGAGACTGAGGCGGAGGACCCCTCATTTGTGGGACTGGGAACAGGCTCTGGTCCATGTTATGCTCATCTCTGATGAGCTGGAATGTGGCGGCTGCAGGGACATGACTCCAGAAACCGTTGTTAGGCTCTGGGTGGAGACGCAGAGGAAGAGGGACCTGTGGGGAACAGCGGTCAGGAAAGACTCATTCGCAATGACCCTAGGAAACGACAGGCAGGGCGTCATTGTTTCCCGTCTATGCAGAGCCCAGCCACACCTGTACACACGGGTACAGCCATATCAGTTCTTAAATTGAAAACATCCTGTACCACTTGGTAAACAGCCAGTACCCTGAGCCCCACTAGTGATTAGGCCACCCCATTCTCTCTCCTGGCACCTTCATACCTCCCTCCAGTCCAGCAACTAAAGAGTTAACACTTGCCCGAGCAGAGGTCCTTGGAGCACAGACTCCTGCCTTCGAGCTGGCTCTCTGTGAAGACTGGTCTAGGACTAAACTCATTCTCACTGTTTTTAAATAGTTTGAATGTCACCTCCAGATGAAACTACCCAAATGGAATGAGGCTCTAAACAGAGCCACATGGGGTCCATCTGGGTTGGCTCCTCGGAGGACAAATCTTGCAAAGGAAATCTGAAGGGGTAAGAGATGCAATTTAGTGGCTGGGAGAGTGAGGGATTGGACAAAATCTCTGATTAAGGGGCACTCCTCCTGCGCATGCTGGGGCTTAAACACAGGGTTCAGGCGCCCTGCACATCCCTCTGCCCTTAACCACCCTCTGGGCCCCTCCCCTGTGATGGACCCTGAGGGCGGGCCTAGCAGCCAGTGGCCGCATTATTAATACTCCTTGATCTGCCCGACTCCCCGTTGTTTCCCTGCCAGCTGCGCCCTCCCTCTCCTCTTTGCTCCTAGACAACATGTGCTGGAAGAATGCGGGTCAGAACAGCCACAGAGGGCTCCCAGCAACTCCTGAAATCCTCTGCCCGGCAGGGGCCTCCAGAGGTTATCTAGGCAGGGTCGAGGATAGAAGACTTTCACTGGGATGCAGATGCTTTTCAGGGAAAGAGGTTCGATAACTTCTGGGGGATGGTGTCCTATATCTTGTAACAGTTGGGAAAGGGCTCCTTAAGGCTTCATCTCAGTCCCTTCTATTCAAAGGGAGAAAGAGTGAATTGGAACAGGGAGGAAGGGAGAGGAGGGGAGGGCCAAAGCCCATCCCCTCCCCCTATCTTGCTATGGAAATGGAGAAACCAGATGGCAGCTCATTTCACTGGCTCTGGAGCTGGACAGCCCTGGGTTCACCTCCGGGCTCTCTCCTTACCAGCTGTCTGACTCCGACAGGTTATCTAACCTCCCAGGACCCAGTTTCCTCATCTATAAAATTGGAATAATAATAACTCAGGGTCCTTGTAAGGATGAAATGAGGCAATGGATGGAAAGCATCTACCCATGTGACTACTGTTAGTTCCCTTCTCTTCCTTCCTCATATTAAGTTGGGCAAGAAGACAAAAACTGTCTCCCTAGCCATTGAAATATTCATAAAATAAGCTTAGGAGTTCTTTCTGCCAGCTACATATTTTCTCGCATATCTTCACCTGGTCTTTTCTTTCCTCGGGTTCCCCATCCCTCCCTGGTCATCTCCTGGGAATAAAAGAGTAAGAGATGCCCAGACAGTCAGAAGATGGTTCCTGAAGCCAAGCAGAGATTTCAGAAGGGACAGTTTCTACCGTTTTGTACTGCATACCAGGAGCCTCTCCAATGTTCATAGCGTTTAACCTGGAACTTCACTTCCAGGAATCAAAGTGAAAACATTTGAAGATTTAAAGCTTCAAAGATTTATGTATAACGGTATGAGATATGTGTGTGTATACACACACACGTATGTCTGACACATATATTTACTTGACGTTTAGGTTGTGATATACATATGATGTGATATATATATATATATATATATATATATACACATAACCTAAATGTCAGGTAAATGCTAAACAAATTAAATAAGTAAATAAATAAAAAAATAAATAATTTTTTTCATGCTAGAACATTATCAAGCCATTAAAAATTAGGTTTGGTGCAGCCCAATGTTTATAGCAGCATTATTTACAATTGTTAAGATATGGAAGCAACCTAAGTGTCCATCAACAGATGAATGGATAAAGAAGATGTGGCATGTGTATACACACACACACACACACACACACACACACACACACACCAATGGAATACTACTCAGCCATAAAAAAGAATGAGAATGAAATTTGCAACAACACGAATGGACTTGGAAGGTATTATGTTTAGTGAAATAAGTCAGACAAAGAAAGACAAATACTGTATGATATCATGTATATGTGGAATCTAAAAAACACAACAAACCAGTGCATATAACAAAAAAGAAGCAAACTGACAGATATAGAGAACAAACTAGCTGTTACCAGTGGGGAGAAGGAAGGAGGGAGGGACAAGACAGGGGTAGGGGACTGAGGTACAAGCTACTATGTATAAAATAAATAAGCTACAGAGATATATTGTACAGCACAGAGAACATAGCCAATATTTTATAGTAACTATAAATGGAGTACAAACTAAACATTGTGAATCGCTATGTTGTACATCTGAAACATATAATATTGCAAATCAACTATACCTCAATTTTAAAAAAAGGAAAAATACACTGGAGCAAAAACAAATAGGTTTGGGAAAATATTTAGTGAGAGAGGAGACTCTTAAAATATAAAGCACAGTGAAAAGTCAAGACATACTGTATTCATGGCACGATCTCAAATATTCAAGAGATGTTTGAGTGCAGACAAAAGGCTGCAAGGAAATTCACCAGAATATAAATTCTGGTCAACTCTGAGTATTGGAAGGAAAAGTGAGGTTTATTTCCTTCATTACAAAAGTAATCCATGTCACTGTAGAAAATTTGAAAAATGCAGAATGGGATAACCAGAAAAGGTTGATTTCAATTTTTAAGTATCTTTAAAAAGAATGGGTGGTTTCCAATGAACCCACCAAAAACAGCGGTCAAAATCATCAGCTCCTCTACTACCTGCTACCCACCTCCAGTGTTTGTAACACTATCCTCCATACACACCTACACACACGCACACACATATGCACCGACCCCTGCCTACACATATGCACACACATGCATGCACAGAACACACCTGAGATTCCCACCTAGGCATGTGGTCAAGTCCCTTGGGGTTGTTGCAGGAGCCCGAGGCTAAGGAGAAAGTGTCTGCTGGAAGGATGGAAGAGAAAAAATAAGAGGAAGTGGGCGTGGGGCTTGTGAGGGAGGAGTGAAATGAGAAGGGAGGGGGAGTGGACTTCTAGGAATAAAATTCCTGCAAATCACCATCTTCGTTCAGAAAGATGAGCTGAGTTTTTCCAGGGAAAGGAGAGTCCACAGGATGGTTGGGGTGGCAGTTGTTTTAAGAAAAATAGAAGCAACTGGTCCGGAAGGACTTGAGGGGCTTTTGCTCCCCAGCACCAGGGGCGCCAGTGTTCTGTTGTCCCTTAACAAACCACCCCCCACGACTTAGCGACTCTACGAGCAACAAGCATTTATCGTGCTCAGGTACCTGCAATTTGGGCGGGGCCGGATGGGAGCAGCTCACCTCTGCTCCACGTTCTGTCTGCTGGGCTGGCTGGACTGGGGGCTTCCAGGACGGCTCACTCACGGGGCTGGCACCTTGGCACTGGGTGTTCAGCCAGGGCCATGGGCCCGGAGCCTCACTTCCTCCCCACGTGGGTCTCTCCTCCTCACAGGCCGCTTTGGCTCCCACTCGGCACAGTGGCTGGCTTCCAAGAGCGAACATCCCAGGAGACAGGAAGTGGCAGCTGCCCGTTTCTGAAGACCTGGACCCAGACATGGGCACA